AATATTCGTGGATGGCAGTTAGCAAACTTCTTTTCACTTAGATCTACTGGACTAGCTTCCAATACACGGCTTATAGTGGAATATGGAGTAATAGACAAAGACTTTGGCTCCTCCACTGGCTTGGAAATGGTAGTTAGAGCTCTGCATGGCCTGTTAATTAGTTTTTATGTGTGGGTGGTAGGGGTTAAAATTTCGTGGATAAAAATTAACCACGAAATTAACGAAAATTAATACTCCACAAAATTTACCAACCGTACGGTATATTCTATAGAGAGGCTAGTATTAATTAAAGTACCTTCCATTAGTTTAGCGTTAAATTGTATTCTTTTCCTATCAACAAAGATATCCCTGAATGACATCAGACTCCGAATGGATGAGTTTAAAATGGACCCCATTGATGGGTGCCTGACTCCAGGATGAGGGAAGGGAGGGAAGGGAGTGAAGGGAGGGGGAGGGAGAGGGTGAGAGGGAGAGTTGGGTAGTGTGGAGACATTTAATGGAGGAAGGGACATATTGACCTAATGAGAGAGAGAGAGAGAGAGAGAGAGAGAGAGAGAGAGAGAGAGAGAGAGAGAGAGAGAGAGAGAGAGAGAGAGAGAGAGAGAGAGAGAGAGAGAGAGAGAGAGAGAGAGAGAGAGAGAGAGAGAGAGAGAGAGAGAGAGAGAGAGAGAGAGAGCATTAACATAATGTGAATGAAAGCATGTAATAATTTAGTTAAAGTAATCAAGGTTTAAATGGAGTAAAGTAATAACTGGAATAAAGTGGTACTAGATGTACATGCATAGCTATTATGTGAATGGATGGATGTAAGTATGAATAAGTCATGTAAATTATTTATTAAAATTATGGATAGCATCAGTATAATACTATTTTTTGCAACTTTAAAAATTCGTAATAAATCCAATTTTGATTGGAATCGGCTCAAACTTTCTACACAACATAAGAACATGTATATGCATTAGGGAAAAATACAAAAATGAAGAATTTTCACTTTTTCATTTTTGGCGAAATTTGGCCCGTGACCTTGTACTATAGTACAGGGACTTTTGTCTGATTTCAGAGCAACTTTAAAAATTCATAAAAAATCTAATTTTGACTAGAATGCACTCAAACTTTCTACACAACATGAGCACATGTATATGCATCAAATAAAATTATTAAAATGGAGAATTCTCTCCTTTTCATTTTTAGCAAAATTTGGCCAATGACCCTGATAGAGTACAGGGACTTTAACCCAATTTTAGAGCAACTTTAAAAATTCATAAAAAATCTAAATTTGATTAGAGATATAGCTGAAACTTTCTACACATTGTATCACAATGTACATGTACCAGATAAAACTAGATACACTGTATCACTCACTTGTGGTTGGTTTGTGCTGTGTAAATGACTCAATAATTCAATTGGAAACGTATACCTCTCATCATCATCATCATCACTGGTGTAGGGAGAGAGAAATAATAATAATAATAATAATAATAATAATAATAATAATAATAATAACAACAACAACAACAACAACAACAACAACAATAATAATAGTAATAAAAAGAGAGAGGGATTTTTAATTCAAAAAAATATACAATGTAGAAAAAAGTCCACAAAATAACTAGCTATAAATAATTTTCAATAAAAAAACTAACTTTTCATTATCTTGTCTATTCTTAATCATCCATCGTCTCAACACAATGCAGTGATAGATGATCGCAATAACTAGTATTAGTATAATGACTAATCCAACTACTGATATGACACCGTAAAATATCGGATTAATTGAATTATTGTCATCATTATTACTATCAGTGGCTGAGTTTCCAGTCCCACCTACAAAAATAATTAAAAATAAAATAATATTAAATACTGTACAGTACAGGGAGGAATTGATAGAGAATATACTTAATTATATTTACCTTCAGTGGGTGTTGGAGCAGCAGTTTGAGTGATCTGTGTAGCAGTACTAGCACCATTATTATTATTATTATTATTATTATTATTATTATTACCTAGTATAAAATAATAGTATTGATTATTAAACTATGTATTCATTAAAAGCTTCTTAATTTTGAGTGCATCAATTTTGCTATTTACAGCCTTAATAATGCATGGTTTACCTCAAAATTTTCAAACAATAATTGCTGTATTTATGCATATCATAAGTTTACTTACATTTATTGTTGAGAGCATGTATTGTGATATTTCCATTTGTTCTATTAACTCCGTATATTTTGTATTTAAAAATGATTGAAACATAAACTGGTGGGGCCGTGCATGAAAACTGGATAGTGACATTAAAAGAATCTGTAGAAAAAGGGAGAGAGAGAGAGAGAGAGAGAGAGAGAGAGAGAGAGAGAGAGAGAGAGAAGAGAGAGGTTAGAAAAAAGAAGGACAAGGGAGAGAGACAAAAGGTTGCCGTTAAGTCTAGCCATGAGAAGAAGGCGTTTTGTGTACACAATGTATTTTGATTAAATCAAGTGATGTGTTTATATAATAAGGAATACTTTGATGTTCCATCCTTAACCACACATATATTCACAAACACACTTAGCAATGTCGCTAATTAGATATAACATAGTATAAGAAAGGAAGTGGGAGAGAGAGAGGGAGAGAAGTGAATTGATGAAAGAAGGAGAGGGACTACAGTACATCAGCAACTAGTCAACTTTGTGTTGAAGACAAATTTATGGTCACTTTGATCTACAGTATTTCCTTGAATTTAATCAGTAAGTATATATAGAATGTATTATTATTTCAGATGCTAATTATAAAGCACTGCAAATGCAATAGGCAATTAGGAATGTACATGTACATGTAGTATTTTAGAGCAAACACTATGCTAATTATAAAGCACTGCAAATGCAATAGGCAATTAGGAATGTACATGTACATGTAGTATTTTAGAGCAAACACTATCAATTCCAGGGCCAAGTTAATACTAATTAAAATTCTTAATACTACCCTGCATGCTTAAGATGCAGTAGTAATATTTCAAGGGTGAATATCATTTTATTCAACCTTCATGGTGGTAGTACAGATAATATTATAATTGAAAGGGCTGAATAAAATTCAAGAGTACAATAATTTTAAGGAAATATGGTACATGTACATGTAATTTCTGTCCGGCATTAAAGTACATGTACATGCATAACTTAAAGTTGCCCAGTGGCTGGTTGGTGAGTACCAGTGACAATAAGAGGAATAAAAACAAAAAAATGAAATAAAAAGAATATGAAATAGAATAAAGAGAGAGAAGTACATGTACATACTTGGTCCTTGTATTGCTGATGATATCTCTTGTGATGATATTTCACTGTATGTAGGACAACC